AACTAGTTAATATTTCAAGTACCTATTTTAAATGTACAAAATTCGATTCTTTTAAAGTTCATGTCAAAATTTAGAGTTTTCTTAAGAGAATAATATTTTTGCATGATGTAACCACCCTCAAACTAGGATTTCATTCACTTGCAAAATACATTATTCGAATGCTTTTTACAACTTAAAAGCGCAATCAATCTAATTTTTTATAAATTTTTATGCTTTTTAGAGTCGCAAAATAAAAATCAGAGTAATTAAAAGTGAAATTTCGTTCAAAAAATTTGAATTTTTTAATTTTTCCTGCAATGATTTACAGAGTAAGAATTAGAAAATTAAATCACTGACAGAAATTAAAAGTGAAAACATTATTTATTCCTTCATGATTAAATTTAAAATGATAAAATTGTACAAGACCGATATAGTCATCAAAATAAAATTTGACAAAGAGAAAGTAAATAAATACACCAAGACGGAATTCATTGAAATATTAGAATAGAATTACTTACATTTGTTAATGACGGATTCAATTTTTAATATAAAGTCATTAATTTTGATGCATAATTTATGGTCCAATTGATCGCGAAGGGTACGATTTTGTAATATTAAAACAAATTGAGTTATTTGGGCTTGTAAAGGACGAGAATGATTGGCTGCTCGTGAAGCAGGTAATTGCAGCAACGGCATTTCGAAGGAGGAGGAGAGTGGGAATTCAATGATCAATAATACAGGGCATGAGAAAAGATACCTGTGAGTTTTTCTCTCGAGAAAATAAAACGTCAAAAGGCTACATTTTCCTTGAATTTCATCATGGAATCATTTTCCACTATTGTCAGTTTTAGAGTAACAGTAATATTTAATTTAGTTGCTTTTAAATATTGCTAACTATACTTTCTTCATATTATGCGGCTAATTATGAAGGTTCTGAATGAAAGATTAATTTTTCGTTTGTTCTAAACTCGTACTTGTTTGGCAATAATTTTTGTAGTTAAAATTATGCATTATTATAGTGAAAATATTTGTCTAATTTGAATCGCCATCAATGGATATGCAATTGATGTCATGCGTACGCAAGCATGCATATCAAATTCTCCTGAACATAGGAATTCCCATTTTTACTCATTGATTGTCAACCGCTTTAATGAAACTCCTGTGCTTCATTATCACCTAATATATGAAATTTTTGAAGTTAAAACTATGTTCGTCAAAGTCAAATAAAAAGCCTAACATTACAAAAAAATCAATAACGTAAGATTTCAAAGGTAATCTAACGTCTAAAGTGTTACAAGCTGAGACAATAATGCCAATAATTATAGTAAAATACATGCTTAAACTACTGAGACTAAGTAAAAATACTCATTTAAGTATTTTAGCATTTTATGCTTTTGACATTTTAAATACTGAAAAAGTAAACTTTTAAAAAGATCTTAAATGACTCAAATTTCAGGTCAACTTATTCAAGTAAGCATTTAAGAATATTTTAAAAACTACCCACTCCAATTTTTTGCTCATTTTTACTTTATAACCTTGAATTGATTAAATTTAAGCATTATATATGTATTAATTTAACATGTAATAAAATTTCATTTTTCTCACAATCCATTAATTGTTCAAGATGAGAATTTTCATTATACCATCAGAAAAAAAAATAAAAATGACTTGGTTTCGAAAACGACTTTTTTTAATATTTTTTAAATAGTTTATCTTTTTACCTGGTTACAAAATAATATAATTAAAATTTATGCTTGTTAACAATAATTGCTATCGAGTGAATGGGGCGTAATTAATTTTCCTGTAGAATCTTCCCCAGATTATAAATAATTAATGAAATATAATTGTGTTTTAGAAAACACGCTTGTTATTAGTTTAATGTTCGATATCATTTTCTTGCTGCTGATTAATAAAAATTACTTGTCTAGAAATTAGCATTTTAAATAGTGAAACGTTGAACGCTTTGCATTTATTAGAACAGTAGATCTTCAAATTTTATTCATATGCCAGATTGTAAGTAACGTGGACTTCCGAAATTGGTTTTTACATCTCTTCTTAAAGTAATCTAGAAATAATAAGAATTTGAGTATTAAAAAAGCGCCATTTTCTGAGGTGAATTAGAGTTTTATTGCTATTATCATGATTTCAAAAAGTAAGTTAAAGGCAGTTCGTTAAAATAACGCCGGGAAATAAAATTCCAACCTCAATCTTTCTTTCGGAAATGTCAATATCCTCACTACCAATATAAAATGTTTAATTTAAACTAACCTTACTATTATTATTATTTCAACTGGTAGGCTTTGTGATATTTATCATTAGCCCTTATACTTTGACTTCAGCTTCCCCCAAGGGTGGGGGGTACATTTATGGCAGTTAATTAATAGCAATTCATTAGCTGTCTTCTTGCTTCCCAGTATCTTCGGCTTTCCATCCTTGTCTTTAGGGCTGGACACCGAATCAGGTGGGTCTTCTCCAATTTTCTCCTGTAGGTTACATAGGGGGCATGTGGGTTGAGTGTATACTCCCAATCTATGAAGGTGTTTTGCCAAGCAATCGTGTCCGGTACGTAGTCTAAACTCAGCAACGGCTTCGATTCTTGGCCAGGCGGCTATGTCGGAGAGTGCCATTGTCCACTGTTTCTCCTTTGTTCGAGCTTTAAGTTCGTTTTACCATGAGATCGTGAATTATCTTCTGATTAAGGTCTTCATTGTGTGGAAAGACATCGGCCGGTTTGATTAAGGTCTTCATTGTGTGGAAAGACATCGGCCGGTCTATTGCTGTCCCCTTCTTAGCAAGTGTGTCAGCAAACTCATAACATAACTAACATAAAATAGTAATTTTAAGAACATTTGCCGATGACGTATTTCATACTGATATACATTTCTACGTTTTTCTTTTGCAACTTGCCAATTCCTTAAAATTTTTATGAGATATTTTTGTCAATAATATTTTGCTTGGATTGAAAGTTAAAAGATTTCGCATTTGATAAGAAAATATTGTGATAAATTACTGAAAAGCTATTCTACGTTGACATAATCTTTTGTCTCAAATGGAGCCACTTAAGCTCCAATAACCAAAAAAATCCTCTTTATCACATAATGTCTCTGATTTTAATAAACTCTGTAACTTTTTAACTATCTACAAATCTATAATTTGCTGTCTCTTTAAATTCTCCTTCTCTTTGGTCACTTTGACCTTTGTTTAATTTATTTTAGGTTTTACAGTTATCTATGAAATTCCTTTTTGTTTGAGATCGGAATACTTAGGTTCACAATGGCAGCTAAAAATTCTATAAATTGGGTTGACATATAATGAGTCCAAAGGTGGATGCGGGACAGAGTATATCGCTTGACAAAGAGAGGAATATAGGCGGGAGAGAGAGAGAGGGAGAGGGAGGAAATTCCGGTATTTTTATCAAAACACGATAATCTGCCAATGTGATTTATGGGTATTTAAGCTGAGGCCTCGCGTGACGGAGGGTTATAAAAGTCATTTAATAGTTTCACTGCAGCTCACTATGGTGAGCTAAACGTGACAGAGGAATTATTACATAAGCATTTAAGCATATAGCATTTTTGAGTAAAGAAGTCATTAAATTGGAGCGACGTCAGAAGAGTATAAAAAAGGAGTCCTCCAGAAGAAATCGGGCCATTTGTTTGTTTCAAATGGCAGGTGTTATGAAACGTATCATTAGCCCTTTAGTTGACTTCGGGCTTCACAGGAAGGAAGAGGAACACCAAAGTGGCAAAAAGTCGAGAGGGGGGACAGAATAATAATTCACAGACGTAAAAGAGACAGACAGACACAAAGGTAGAAAAAAAGGTGAGTACTGGGGAATTAGCAGAATATGAAATGCGGTGGGGTCTTGGTAGTTTGAAGTGAGAAGTCAACTGCCGGATAATAGACTTTTTTGCCGTATGGGTACACGTTGCTCAGAGTGCACCACGTGGAGGTAAGTCTATCGCACACCCCAGTCCTCCAGAAGAAATTAGGCTAATTTTTGCAATTCCTCTAGTAAAAATTCTTGTTAAAAATTATAACTGTGGGTGTCTAAAGATGTGAGCGGTTACTTCAGTTTTCCTTTTAACTACATTTAACATTTCTGAAAGCGAGCTTCGTAGTCTGTTCAAGTAAAATAAAAAGGTACATTTTCACATTTTTTATTGAATTTTTGCTTTTTCCATTTTACTTCTCCTAATTGAGAAGTCTATTTACAGTTAACATTACTTCAATCTAAATACCTATATATATGGGTTTGTTTTAATTAATTCACGCCGTAGTAGAATTGCTTTGATTGCTTTACGGGGCGTTTAAACGCCAATTAAAGTCAAATTTGTAAATATTTAAGGATAAAGACTTATTGAACTTTTATTTTGTAGTTCCATCAGCAGATATTCATTTAGTTAACTTCAAATTAAATAACTTTGAGCAGTCGGTTGACAATTGTTAAATACCAGCAGATAGCAAATATCGACGAGAGTACATATTAATTACATTTTCGTGAGTTAAAATTTAAATTTTGTCTGCTTAAATTTTGCGTTCTGACATAGCTCCCTCTAATTCCTTTTGTCACTTTACATGCGACTGTTTAGTAAACGTGAATCTCCGGCAACTTATTTGAAAATGGCCTTTGTAATCTTGCAGACACTAGATAGGGATTGGTAACTGTAAGAGGAATACTCATATTTTTCTCTTAATAACAGGCATTTGATTGAGTGCGCAAATTTTTTATTCATCTTAAATAGTTTAACTACAGTTTAAACTAATTACTCCCTCTATATACACATACAAATGCGAGTTGATTAAAAATTATAAGAACACAATGTATATATTTGTTTTTTTTTAAATTTCAAAAAAGACAACAAGTTGTCAACGAATCTGATATCATAAAGTGAAATTAATGCCGGGAAAGTAATCACAATTCGCATGTTTTTAAAACATTATGAGAAGGAGGGTAAGTGTGAATATCTGACGTTGAAGAGAACGAAGGTTCAATTTTGCATTTATGGCAGTACTGGGCATCAAGTTGCCCAGCCACGGTGATCTCGGATCTGGAGTAAAATGGACTAAAACTCGATTTAAATTCGCATAAACATCTGCACCGCGGTTGTAGCGTTATATATCTTCTGAAAAGGTAAAGAAAATGAAAATAAAAGACTTTCAGTTGCATATTTTATCATCGAAATTTGGAAGGATGACACTCTATAAATCGGCCTTCAATGGAGATTTATGAATACATCTTGCAGTTTCGCCTAAATGACCTCATGACCTAAAGATCTATTTGCCCTTAATCTTAACTGAACCATTGCCAACACTTCTTCAATAAACTGGAAGTTCGAATGACAAAAGTTCAAACCTTCAGAAGTTAAAAAAAATTAATTGTTATTTTCTTTTTAATTAAGTAGCCATTGGCCTACTATTGATGTTCTTTGGTTGTATTATTTAAGAAGTCTTCGTTCATTTGCTTATATTTAATCATACTTTTTTATGAAAATGTCATTGCTTTTTCAAAAGTACACCATCACCTTTTTATTCACATGCTTGTCATTTGTCTGCTCGTAAGCTTCACTTGCAACTACAATGTCTCTCAACCCTCCTTTTTCTCGTTCTCGAAACTTTGTTGTTGCCAATTTAAAACAATTTGGAACTGTTGTTTTCTTCTCTTAGCTCTTGACAATTTCACTTTACTCCCGAATTGATGAACCCATTTCTTGTTAGTTCCAGCATCCTACGACGTTTGGCTGCCTTCGATGTTAAAAAATGGAAAAGTAAATATAACGTAGGGATAACTTATGTTACTATAATAAATTTTTGAAATAGTTCTCCACACACTTAAAATATAATAAACTATACTTCAAATTTATAATAATAATTGCGATCTTACCATTTGAAAAATATTAAGAAAACTGAGCTAAATTGATTTTTTTGTAAATTGGGCTGCACTGTGGTCGATCGATCAGTAAAGTTGGGCTATTTTTATTGATAATCAATAATCTCTTTTGCATCTGTGGGACACGTTATCGCTTTGTGCGTCATCGTATGCCCGCATGTCTGCTCGCCAGGATTGGGAGGTGCGGCCGTAAAACTCCGTGTGCAGCGACCGTACAAACAGTGACCAATCATCAACCTCTGTTTAACCTAATCCTCCATCCTGATCATGAGTAGCTCCCTGCGTGTACACACTTGATCCGCAATATACGTACTGAATAAACGTGTTCCATGCTACACGCCTGTTTCCTTTATAGCTGGGCTATAGCTTAGCTAGTTCTGGGAGTCTAGCTAGATGTAGGAGAATCTGCCATAGAGATTTCTGAGTCAGGCTTTACTAAGGTAGCAATCCGCTACACATCATTAGCTTATTTTGAAATTTCTTTATTTTCATTCATAAAATTCACACTTTAAAACTTGGACTCCAGTTCCTAGTAGCGTAGAAGAGACCTATTTGGTTAGTTTAAATATCAAATAGCAAGTTAATAAATAAATAAGTAAACAATTTGCATACCCTCCAACGCTGACGAACAAGAAAGTTCTTGCGAATATTTTCACTGACTCGAGCGTAAATGTCAACTTCTGAGGCAGCATTCTGAGCTATCCACGGATGAGCTAGAGCTTGAGTACAGCTTGCTCTTTTTGCCGGATCCTTCTGCAAGAGACACCTTATGAAGTCCTTGGCTAAATTAAAACAAAAAAGGCAAACGAATAGTAAAAATTGCATGCTGATATTTTAGGAATTTTTGTTTTACTAATACGGAAAAAAAGTCCACAAACCGGCAGTTGACTTCTTGATTTAAACTACCATGACCCCACTGTATGCCATATTACACAGCTTCCACAGTACTCATCTCACCTTTTCTCTGCCTTTGTGTCTACATCTGTGAATCACTCTTTTGCTCCCCCTCTCGAATTTTTCTCACTTTGATGTTCCTCCATCTCTGTGAATCCCACAGTCAGCTAAATGGCTAATGATAACTATTCAAAACGCCTGACATTTGAAATAATAATATTTTCACCCAGAGCAGAATAAATAATATCTGCTCAGCCTAAGTCAAGCTGTCATTTTTCAATTTTGAATAACATTAAAGTTTGAATGAAAGCTGTATGATGTTAGTAGCGCTTGTTTTATTTGCTTGACATTTTTCATTTAGATAACCTTTGCTTTTTAAGTAGTTTACCTTGCATAGTACATAAGTTGTTTTGGGTTACTGACAAACCGCGAAATCTCCAACCCTCGTTTGCTGCCACTTTTGGACTTTTAGTCAGAATTTCATCGTAACAAAATTTGCAAACATGCATTTAAATTTGTCAGAAATTAAAAAAAAACAGTTTAAATGCTTGTATAGTTAAATCGATCACCTGATTCGGAAATATCATCCCAGTAAGGCGAATCAAATTCATAATGAGCGCGTTGAATCTGACTAAATAATTCGTGATCGTTTTCATCATAAAATGGCGGGTAGCCACATAGACTAAAATTGGAAAGGAAAATAAAGTAAATGATTAAAACAACTCGTAATATTTGATACAACGTCTTAAATTTAGACGAACATAAAAGTACACATCGGTCTTAATTAGACGCGAAGGACATAAAATCTCAAAGTTATAACAAATCGTAGACAGAAAAGTATTTAATAAATTTATACATATCATTATTGAATCAGCCAGTTTTCACCCGCTTGAAAAAATTTAGAAACCTCAAATTTAGAAACCTTAAAATTAAACATGAATGTTCTCTTTAAATATACACGTAAACTTGAATTTTTAAACATCACAACCGTTTCAAGATACAATTCCACTCATACGCATTGAAATAGCACTTAAAAACAATATTTAGTCAGTTGAACCTTATCGAACTCTCTTTCCTCACCTATGGAACTATGGTCCAAATTTGACCATTAATTCCAAGGAAGCGAATACAATCAGAGATATATTAATATGAAGTAAACAAAAATATCAATATAAAAAACAGAAAGGCAAAGAAATAAATCACTTTTTTAGGCGTTCCGCAAGTTTGCTTATGAAAAAATAACCTTTGGCAGATTCTTTTATTTTCAAATTTTGGCGTTGGTAAGTCAATTTTTTCAGACTTTATTAAAAACCACAACATTTAAGTTTTTAAATAGTTTTTTTTTCAAATCGGTTGAATCAATTAAGATGAAAGAAAATGGCCTTAAAATTTTCCTAAATTATATCGTCCAAAAGGCATTCTTTAATAATAAATTTAAATAGTTACATCTAAATGACTAAATATTCTGTGGAATGTATTTTTTTCATCATTAGAAACAACTTTATACTCCCACATTCGCAATGCAGCATGTTTAAACTAATTCCTTAAAAAATAAAATTTAATTTTACAGGATATGTCAAATATTAATTTGAATTGTTTAAAGGCTATTCGTGATTGATATTATTAAAACAGGAGGGGGGGGGGGGGAAGAGAGAGACAATTGACAAGAGGGAGAGTTGTACAGGATGTAAGTGATGACACCAATGGCCCAGCAGTCAACCTCCTTTCCGTATCCATTCTTTCCCGTGCGAGCGGTCAGTACCTCCGGAGCTAAAAAATAACCCCACGTTGAAATGATAGATCCAAATTAATTTGCATGAGTTTTAAAATACCCAACTATAAGCAGTTAAGTCATTTAGGTTAAATGGCATTTAGTGCGATAAACTACTATATGGATGGATTTCATTGCTTGCTTTCAGATATTCAGTTCATCTAACCCTGAGATGTACGATAGACTTACCTCCACGTGATGCACTCTGGACAACACATAATCATACGGCCAAAAAGTCTATTAACCGGCAGTTGACTTCTCACTTCAAACTACCAACACCCCACTGTATGTCATATTCGACCCCTTCCACAGTACTCACCTCGCCTTCTTCTCTACATTCGTGTTTCTATCTTTTAATTCTTTGCGACACTCCTATGTTCCCCCCCCCCATCGACTTTCTTCACTTTGATGTTCCTACCCCTCTGTGAAGCATGAAGTCAACTAAAGAGCTAATGATAACTATAAAAACGCCTGCCAAATAAATTCATCTAACCCAAATGTCTACGATCAACTGGCGTCGTTTTACTGAATGCCAGTAGGATTTATTTTAAAACCTGTACTTAAAAGCATAATTGAGATACAATCACGTCGGATTTCAAACAGACCGAATCCAAATGAACTCTGTGGTTCAAAAATTGTTGTCAAACTTGTAGCAAATTAATGGGGGT